CTCCCTCTGCCTGTCTCCGATGAGCTGCATTCGCTGGTTCCCAGACGTCATGAGTTCAAGCGCCATACGAGGCTGGCATCCCGCTCTCACGCCTTCACTGTCGAAACTCCTACATGTAGCCGTCTCTTCTACTCCAATAGCTTCATGCCTCGCACTTCTCCCCTGTGGAACTCCCTTCGCTATTCCTCTTTCCCTGTGAGCTATAATCTCCAGCTATTCAAGAGTAATGTCAATCTCCAGTTGCCTTGATCTATCGACTACTCTTCTCCCCATCCTTTCTTCTATCACTCCTATCTGATCTTGCTCTAAATTTTCTGTAACCCCTTGCGTCCTAGTGGCTTCCTGCCTTGCTTGGTGTGAAATGCTTAAAAATATATATATATATATATATATATATATATATATATATATATATATATATATATGCAGCATATCTTCATTCAAGCATGTTTCTTTAAATAATATATTCATATTATGTCTCTTTTTATAATAATCCAATCTAGCTCTCTAATTATCTTCTTGATGTTGAGTTGAAATTCCCCAAGGAACTCGTCATATATTTTCTTCACCCAAGTACTTTCGATCTCCTCCGAGATCATTCTCAGCGGCTATTTCCCAAGGCAAACTTAATGTAACTGTAATCGTTGTGATGGTATTTTTTTCAAACACGCGTTCTGCTATACTTATTTTCAAATTAACCGTTGTGGTTACGATGTTTTCTAAACAAGCGTTCCCAATGCAAGGGGGATAACCAGAGATGGTAAATTTCAAAATGCTGTTAAATGTCAGTCAATTCAAATGCATTTTAAAGCATTGTTGCTACACTTTGTGTAAATTTTGTGTTGTTTGTTTGCTTTTGTTATAGAGGACTTCGAGAATTATAAGTTTTTGTTTATTATTTTCATGGTGTAGTATATTGGCGTATAAAACAAGTATTTTTCTGTATTGTGTAGGTGACAGTAACGTGTCTTTAGATGTTGTGTAATAGAACTTGTATCTGATAATTGGAATGTAAGACGTCTTTATATTATTGTTGTTATCAATTCAACATATGTATTTACTATTTTGTCAGAGATAAAATCTCTCAAATGATATTTAAATTGATATATTGTGTTGGTCGTTTCTAAAACTCCAGTTGACGGAGATGAATTACTGGGTAGGATTAAGATGGTTGTGTTAAATTTAGTATAGTGTATAATTAGATTTATTTTATTTTTTACTTTGATCAGTGGGGAATATATGAGTACTTATGAGATTTTTTTAGGATATTTTCATCTTCTTTATACTTAGAATGCATATGATTACTGTATAGAAGGCTGATATGTTTCGAGTTATTCTACATGGCTAACCTTGAAAATAAGATATTTAACACCACTAAAACACCCTTCATCTACCAAAGATATATAAACGATATTCCTATCTTAGTTAAAAACATAAATGATATAAATGAACAAGAAAATTAAAAAGCACTCCGTTCTTAGCTTCACATGAGAACTGAACAATAACATTTAGATTCTTTTTCTTAATGTACTGATAAGCATTAATAATATTTCATTTACTATATGTCCATATAAAAAAAAGAAAAGAAATAGCATAAACACTTGCTCTCTAAACTATAAAAACGAATGTCTTGACAATTACAAAATAGCTATTATAAAAAATTATAAATCGTTAATTCTTCCTCGAAAAAAAACACTGAATTAAAAAAAAAACATTAATCAAACTGGCATTAATAATGACTTTCCTAATTACATCGATGATGAACAAATTAGATGAAACATTAGAAATATTAACATAAATCAAAAAGAATATAATACTTTCTCAAATAACCCTAAACATATCAATCTACTAAACCGTAATCAAATGCAATCTTAGAAAGGGTAAATAGAGACATGTTTGCTGTGGCGTTCTTCTTGAGTGAACAGTTAATGCACGTCGGATGAAACTGTAGTTTCGTCTATTAAGGAATGTGTAAGTTCGATCTATGCCAGAGAACACATTTTATTTACTAAATTTATTAAACGCACAGACGATAGACGTAATACACACTGAAGCCGCTATATCAAATACGTATGCCTGCAAAGCATGTGGGCCTCATGATATCCTTGTAATATATATTGTTTTAAGAAATGTGCTCTCGGACAGGCTCCTGAACTCTCTAAACTGCACAATAAATGTCTTGTTGCCTCTTGCTTTCCTGCTTGTTGGAAATCCGCCTCAGTTGTTCCCGTCTTTTAGAACTCAGGTGAACCATCTAACCCTTCGAATTATCAATCTTTGTACTTCTTTCTTGATTAAAATTCTACAGACCCACACCGCAGCTCTTTATAATGCTGTAATATGGATTTCGCTTCTCTAGGTCTACAGATGAGGTACTAAAGATTATTGCTGATTGAGTCTATCAAACGTTAGATAAGGCTGTTGAAACTCGAGTTGTTGATTTTGACATATCGAAATCGTTTGACAGGGTCTGGTATACCGGTCACAAATTGAATGTTGATACGATATCTGTTATATTTTTTTGGCCTGAATTAGACCTTATCAAAATTCGAAAATGAATGTTGTCCTGACCAGCCGCTCTTCTTTTTTGTACTAATGGAAGTGTATCCCATGCTTCTAACCTTGGGTATAGATTGTTCTTAATTGTCAACAATGACCTTCCTGGTGATATGAGTTCTCAACATAAGATCTATGCTGATGACTCAACCATTTACACCTCTTTCGTAATAAGTCTGATCAGTTCGATAAAGTCAAATTGGCAGCTTATCTAAAAAATTGACCTGTTGCTAACTGGAGCAAATAATGACTTGTTAATTTTAATACCTCCAAAATAAAATGTCAATCAGCTGAATGATTCCTTCCTGCCTTCCATGAACATGGCTGATGCTAACACCCATGAGAGTCACTCGTTCAGAATTCTCGGGGGTAACATTCTTGGCTGACAGGATGTGGAAATGTTATATTGAAACCATTTTTAGGTCTGCTGCTACAAAAGTTGGTTCACTGCGACCTGCTAGACAATTTTCCTCACCTGAAACTATCTTACATATTTATAAGTCTACACTTGGTCCATGATTTCAGTATTGCTGCCATATATGGCCCGGTGCTCCTGCTGAATATTTAGAGAATCTTGATAAAATCCAAAGATCATTTTTCAGAAAGTAAAATACTTTCCATAGTATTCTTTTTATGAAACGCTATTTTTTTCCATAAGTTGAATATTGCAATTATTTGATATGGAAATATTTTTTAATGAATGATCAAATTGTATCGATTTCATATTTTTGTAGAATTATAACAATTGATTGATATTTATATAATCAGTAGTCTGGAAAAGTGTTCGACTTGGAATTTTTGTTGTTTTTATTCCTGGCGCTTATTGAAGATTTATGATTTAAGATTTAAGAAACACCAGTATTTTTTGTACCTTGTGTCCAATAATTAAAATATTAAAGTAATATTAAAAATAGAGCGTTAATGATCTTATCTGAAAAGATTAACTTTTAAATATCAATTTTATCCCGACATCGATGTTTCTTGGTAAAATTTCCAGTCTTCTGGGGTTGTGATTTTAAACGGTATTTCCAAATTTTTTCATATTTTTTTATTTTGTTCCACGTCATTTTCAGTCCGCTTTTTTTATTCCGTTTTGTACACGCGCCAAAGAGAGGGATAATAATACATCTCCGTCTGTGTATAATTTAAGTTTGTAAGTGTAATCATAGATATGCCCTAATAATTATATTAGCTCCATTGGAGAATGGCAGTAATTTGTTAATCCTTTTAAGCAATCTGCATTGATAAAGGAAGAGTAATATATATTAATTGTTAATACTATTTTTTTAAATTCCTTATTAAATGCAGCGTTGATAACAGACATTCATTTTCTCCTGAACAAACACAAATTAAGTGTTTCGCATATTCTCTTAGATAAGAAATGATTCTTTACATAAACTTTCATCAGAATTTCCTCTCGTAACTGTTTTTATTCTTTTCTGTCAATCTCTATTCCAGATTTTTATTTTATATGCACGATGCCTGACACTCGATTTTGAATCGCTTGACTGATTCAGAAATAGCGCGGATGTGACTTTTTAGTCTCGCGACTGAATTAGATTCTCTTGTGCAGCTGTGTTCACGTTGTGAAACCCGTGTTACCTTTGCTAAACTTCATTATGATAGAGAAATGAGTAAATGAGATAGAGTCGTTTCTGCACTCGCTACAGTAGAAATGATTTATAACACATAGCTAATTATTTCTAGATATCTGTAAAATCTTTAATGATTTTTGACTCCTGAACGACTTAAATAGAATCGACCACTTTCCTTTCACATTGAAAAAGGATCAGTCAGTGATTTCTCATTGACGGCTGAGGCTACCATTACTATGCACACCTACAAATGAATGTTAAATATAAAGCGATATGTGTGCTTGATTCGTTTAAATTAAAGAAATGCTTGCACAAATAAAATACCAATCTCAAGGAAGAATTGATCTACATCTTTGGATACAAATGAAAGGTATTCTATAGAAGATTTCCTTCTCCCTGTGAGTTGTCCTCGGGAACGGTGATCTCTCTATCCCAATGGGCTTACGAATCTCCTGCCTACTAACACAGGTATTCTCCGCCTGCGTGCATACATGCATACATACATGCATAATAAATACAGACACACACACACACATACACACACACACACACACACACACATATATATATATATATATATATATATATATATATATATGGCAAATATGTATACAACATTCAAAAAAAAGATATTGTAGTGCAAAACTTATTAAGACGTGAATTCAGAGATTCAGCCACTCAGAGCTTAAGGTACGATAGTAATCTACAATCATAAGAAATACTCGAAATAGTAGACTTTAGCTTTCAGACATTTATTAGTACGGTAAACTGCTGTTTACGCAACGTAGGACAAAGTGTTCAGTGGGATTGCTGCTCATGCATTTTGATTTTCTTTTCTAAGGGCCGCCAATGAAACGCTATCTATCGGAAAAATATCGTACTACATTGTTAGCGCAATTTGATAATCTATCTATCTATCTATCTATCTATCTATCTATATCAGTGCAATATTTATCTATCTATCTGTCAATTAGTTCAATATCTATCCCTCTATCAATGTTCATATCTATCTATCTATCTATCTATCTATCTATCTATCTATCTATGATTCTATCAGTGATTATCTATTTATTATCTATCTATCTATCTATCTATCAGTTCAATATCTATCCATCTATCATTGTAAATATCTATCTATCATTGTACATATCTATCTATCTATCAGTTTCACTTTAATATCTATCTATCTATCTATCTATCTATCTATCTATCTATGTGCAATATTTATCTGTCAATCAGTTCAATATCTATCTATCTATCTATCTATCTATCTATCTATCTATCTATATATATATATATATATATATATATATATATATATATACGTGTGTGTGTGTGAGAGCAAGTTCGATTAATCTGTCTGCTGTAAAATTATGGAGATAAGATTTATTTTATGGAAAAAATATTTATTATGTGAATTTCTCCTTCCACTAACGTTTTTCTTTCTTCACATTCTCACATACAGAGCAAAGATTCTTTCTAATTTACAGATATATACTGAATAAATAAATAAATGGTCATGCCCGTGTATTATATGTGCGTGTCTGTGTCTGTGCGTGTTTTATTCAAGACGACAGAAAAGGTACTAGGAATAAGCTTTTTTATTTAATTTTACTTCTGTTCGAACAATTTTTTTTTCTTTTTTGGGTGCAGAATATGTAGTGACTGTTCAAATGTTCTACGCTTTCTGACATTCTTTAGCCATTATCAATGATGATTTTATTTTTTTAATTTTTAAATGGATCTATAGATTCTCTGTATGTTTCTAGAATTGTGGACGTGTTCGTAGTTTATGTGATTGAATGTTGCCTTTTTCTTCTTTTTTTGCATGTGGATGAGGTTATTATACTTGTATTTTCTACTAGTATGTTTCGGAGTCTGGTAATTTTGTGTGTGGGTTTTGAAATGGGTTCTCATGGACCTGTTATCAGATAGGAGTGATGGATCTTTTTTTTATGTTCTCCGTGAGGTTTTTGTTTAGTTCAGTGAATTTAGTTCGGTCATCGATGATGTCTTATAATTTTTTATGGTTTTATCTAAAATTACGTATATATTAGCTTTTTCGGATCGTCTTGTGAAAATGTTAGGATTGTTTTTTAGTCCATTTGCAGCAATTTTTAGTTTAGCTGTTAGGATATTATTGAAGTTATTACGAGTGGATTTTTTTTCAAACTTTCGGCCTTGTGGAGCTCTCTCAGGTTTACATGAACTACTATATCTCGACGCGCCTCGAGTAGTGATTGGTGTAGAATTTCAATTTCGGTCAACAAAAGAGGTTAAATGTAGGTTAGTGATCGCAATCTCTCACTTATACATATTTCACTAACGTCGACAGACAAGGTACTGTGATTAAGATTTTTATTTAGGTTTTCTTGTGTTCGATTTTTTTCTTTTCGGGCCACAGAGTGTGAAGAAACTGTACAAATGTTCTGTAATACCGAGCGATTTCGGCTATACATTGGGTCCTTATCAAGGATGATGTTATTTTTTACGTTTTAACTGGATATATGTGTTGTGTGTATGCATCTAGATTTATAGGAATGTTTTATTTTACGAACATAGTCAGCATATTGTGGCAGTGTTCGTAGTTAATATTATTGTGAGATGATTTTTTTATTTTTTTTTATTTTTAAGTCTTCCATAATTTTATATCATTTTTTAAATTTGGACACACTACCCAAATTGACCCGAACATAAAAATAAATTAATTATCTACTACAAAAAATTTAAAACAAATAAACGTATCCTCAAAAGAAGAACACACAGGAAGAATCAAAATTACAAAGAACGAACATTATTTACGAGTTCAAATTCCCCTTAAGGAACCGTATTCCTGATCAAACTGAACTCAAAAATAATTACATCGGTGAAACTACTGCATACCTATTCAGGCGCTTTACGTTACAACTATCCGACAACAGCTCCATCAGAACACATTTAAAAACGCACACACACAAACTTACCAGACTCCATACGAAACTTCGGAATGAGAGAACATTTGAACAGTTTCTATACACTATGTTCCCAGAAATGAAAACACCTGTTCAAACAGAAAAAATAAATAAACAAAAAGCCTAATTGCAGTACCTTGTTTTTTCTTTAATGAAACATGTACAATGAGGGATTGCTACACACACGCAAGCGCGCAGATACACACACACACACACACATATATATATATATATATATATATATATATATATATATATATATATATATATATATATATATATACATAACATTACAGTTTCTCAAATATCCTTAGCAGATAAGTACAAAGATTTTTGTTTCTTTTAAGTCAATTTCATTACGAGAATCTCTTAGGAATTTAGTCTCGAGTACATTTTATGTCAATTTAATTAATTAGTTTTCAGGATTCCTGTCTCCAACCTGCCTTTGAACTGGCAAACATAAATTTTGTTAGTGATTTTAGTTAATCATAAAAGTAGTCCTTTAAAAAACTGACTACTCATCCATTCTTTTTTTGAACACTTTGGACTGATGGTGGGTAGGACCACATCCAGTATCCATATAAGCAAAGATAGGCCAGAAGTAAGCATTATGTGACCAGTGGCTAAATTAAAGAGAGGCGGGAAGTGAACAGTAATCGACCAGCAGCCAATGAGGAAGAAACCGGCCGTCAAGAAGAAAAAAAAATAGACTGGCACTGCGTGAGTCCGCTTGTCATCGAAACCACAAACAGTGATTATAGGTTCCTCTCTAAATGGTGGAAGTTACAAAGAAGAATAACATTGTTATATGAGAAATCGTAATGTTGCTACTTTCGGAAGGGTGTCTTGAAAAGAAATTGATGCTATTCTATGTTGAATTTGATCACGGCCAAGGAAACAAGCCTGTGAACGCATATTTATATGCAGACACAACCAGCCTTGGATATCATCAGAGATGTGCAGTGACGTACTTGCTGGACGCATCACACACACACACACACACACACACACACACACACACACACACACACACACACGCATATATATATATATATATATATATATATATATATATATATATATATATATATATATATATGTATGTATGTACACAAATAAAGATAAAGAACAGTCAGATTAACTACCCACAATTCTATAGCATTTACTTTTTAAAAAAACTGCTCGATACAACGTAGAGTATAAACGTACCTCAACGTACCTACAGTTTTCACTTTTCCAATTTAAATTATATCTGCATATAATTTCGTAAAAAAAGCCAATGACCGTAATAAAATTTTGAAATCTCATTCCCCTCTCAATTTAATACTATTTCGCTTGCAAAATAAATCATTTTTTCTGAAGTTATCCAAAATCGCTTGAAAATGGAACAATAATTTTAACCTCAGTTCCGAAACATTGAAATTTTATTTTTAAATTATATAAACATTGAAATATATATATTTTAAATTATATATATATATATATATATATACCCAGAACATTCACAGCGTAAGCGATCATAACAGATTTTTTACTATACATACAAAAACAAGTCCAAATGTACACACACCCACGTATAAACATATATAACTCCAAAAACAATATATTTGAGACTATATGAATAAATCCGGTGTTTAGTTGTTGAAATAACATTTATTTTGAGCAAACTAATATTTATTTTCGATATCATTGCATTGCTTGTCACTGCACTTAATATAATGATGAACAGTAAGCCTATATGACAAATATTATACAAAAAAATATTAAATGAAAATTAAATTGAAAACCATTTCTCCGGTTCTTGAAATTTTCATTAATCTTTTTATGTGGTAGATATTTAAAATTTATTTCCTCATTTGCTTTTAACAAATTTCTTTTAACGAATCGATATAATTGTCAGACGATATGCAAATGAAAACAAATTTATACGAAACCCAGTCAGCTTCCTTTTAAGTATCTTAATATTCAAACTAGTCACCACAATTTTGAAAGCAAATACGAATAATTTTTTTTTATAGAACACAAAACATATTGCAGTTGTATTAGAATTACAAATTAAATTTGATTAAATTTGTAGACTGAACATGATGATCTGAAATTGAATTACGTCTGTAAATTTGAACAAATCCCTCATCAAATCTTAGCGAGGCATTTGCATTTTAATATCCTTAATTATTTAATTTACTGAAGTTCACCACATACATGGACCAAGAGTCAATGAACGTAGATCTGTTTGACATGATCACAAGAGGGGGTAAATATTAAAGATTAAGAATATATGGCGGATAGACGAAGTTTGACCTTAGAACCAGAGAGGTCAAATTTTCCACGCGGGAGTCTGTTCCAAATAGTAACGATTCTTAAGAAGAATCATACGGACTTGAACGCCCTGCATACCTAAGGAATGAGTAGGGAATTTGGTCGTAGCAAGGCACATTTTGGTTGCAATATTTTGAGTTGGCCGTACTATAAAATGGAGTTTTTCCCAACATCTGCCACGGAAGTAGTGATAGACTGAAGATAGGTTTGTGGCAAAAATGGCTGTAGTTTCTAAAATAAATCATCCCCAATACGTACGGGGAAACTATTTTGAAGACTCTCAAGGCTAGAAATATGAGGATTAGACTGCTCCAGATGAGTTAAATTAGCAATTCATAAAGTTAAAAAAGACAGCAATTATGGTGTCACCAGTTATTATAGAATTCGGTACATGAGTATTTGAAAACGGGAATATTTTCTAGCAATTTCTCTAAGGTTCTTGCAATTTCTCTAAGGTTCTAGCAATTTCTCTAAGGGTCTAGAAATTTCTCTAAGTTTCTAGCAATTTCTCTAAAATATTTACTGAGCTTAGAGAATTTGGGACAGACAATGGTAATATTAATATCAGTGGTAATAGTAATATTGGGCCTTTCTAGATAAGAAAGCTTTCGTGATTTCTTGAACAAACAGCCAGCAATGGCGTCGGTTGAAATTTATAAAATCCTTCTCTTAAAAGAATATTTCATGAAAATATATGTCTCATGTTCAGTAGCTGTTATCGCTCTTTTAATTATTGATATGCGTCTCTTTCCTAACCTTTTATTTGAAATGGAGTGGAAGGATTATTATTTTCTGCTGCTGTGGAATGTTCCCACGAGTTGTGGTTTCTATTATCTATTATAGTTATTTTTTTGTATGATTATATAGCGCCAGTTCACAATGTTCAAGCTCCATTTGCTCAAAACCATGTTATCATTGATCTTAAAAAGCAGTTGTATATACAGCTGTCAGTTTAGATAATTCTGAATAGTTTTAGCGCCATGCAGGCCACCCATATGATCTTCTTGCTCTGGTATGCTTATGTAAATATTTGTTTAAGCCGAACACACCAATTTAGCATATTTATCTGTCAGACGAGTTTGCTAAATAATATGTCAAAACAAGCACATTATAGACGCCTTACACTTATTAAAATATTTCGTATATGGTCGCATATGTGATACACTCAAGTTAACAAAATTTACTAAGGAATCTGAGTGATTGATTTATTTTCGGTATTTTAGTCATCTTTCACTGTTATGACGTACGTATATCTCTTAGTTGTATCTTAATTTCAGGTATTTTATAAATGAGTTTCTATGTGAACGAGTAACCGAAATGTAAAACATTAGTGTTCCTTCCATGAGACACGGATTTCTTATCTGAACGAATTTAGTTTGTTAGCAAAATGCTTCCTTAATAGTGGCAGCCTGAGGAGACGTCCCAAATAGTCGGTACGGTTTGAGAAGTGCCTAAAACCACCAAGCTTATCAGCGAAAATTGGGTAGGCGAAGCTGTTACAAAAGTTGTCAAGGTGTTGAGTATACTGATCTTGTTCAACAACTGATCACCCCATTGATTGATTCCGTTTTTAAGGCTTATCAACTCTTTGCAGTTTATTAAAGCTAGGAAATATTATTTTTGATTGTAATATTTTGGGGGTGGGGGTTGATAAAAATTTAGTGATATAACTATTACTAATTAACACATAGCTCCTAGCTGAAGGCGAGAGTAGGTGGATTAATAATTTTTCCAACGGTATTTACGCTTGATTATAACGAACCCAACTAAAATTGGAACTCGGCTCACCGATAAACAATTCTGAGCCACTATCCATTAAACCACCAACACATCCAAATATACAGCAACTGGTATTCCCAAGTGGTCACTCCTCTAGTTACTGCCCAGGCATGGCGTTGCTTAAATCCTGTGATAGTACGGGAATCGATGTTTCAAAAATTCATACATGGATCATATGGAAAGCCGAGTTGAAATGTCACTATTCAGAATATGTACATGTAACAAATTTCAGTTACGTGTGAAATGAAAATACGTGTTCAGACGTCAGCAACTGAAAAATGCTATTAATTTCTCTCAACCCAATGGTTTTCACTTCGCTGATTGTACGGGTGCTGGTGTTTCAACGTGATTTCTACATGAGTCACTGATCACCCCAGATTATTCGATGTCCCCCAGAAATTGTAACTTGTGTCTGATCAGTTCAGTTGCAGTATAACCCACAAGTTTGGTAGATGAGTGTCAAAGAAGCACGAACTTGACTTAGCAGACGTTTACAAAAAACATCAAATAGACGCCATAGCATACGTTTTATATGCAGAAACAAGTAGTAAGTTGTTACATTTTTCAGTCTTTTCACCCCATGACTCAAAGAAGAGGAATGTAGGCAAATGAGAATTACATTATTGACGAGTAATGACAATAGAAAGAGAAGGGTTCAATGATACAGAAGATGATGACTGGCATTGCATTTAAATTTTTGAAGATCGTATTTGATTGGAAAGAAAATAGCCGGAAGAGATTTGCACAGTTGAGTAGGGCAAATGAATTAGCATAGTTCACTAATTACACACATAATTTTCATTATCTGTCTATATTTCTGAGATGAAGTACTATGTACATTATTTACATTATTCGGACTATTGTCCTCATCTTTGTCGCCATATTTATTACAACGTTTCAGTCGTTGTACGCTCCGGCCTTCTTCAGGTGGTTGGAATGTCAAACTGAACCCTTTATTTCGTTCACTGGGGTAGACTGTTCTAGTTCCCCGTTTCATATTTAATGGAAGTCAGTTATCAGTTATCTCCTGTTAATATCCCTCTGAAAGTTCTCCACTGCCTTAACCGGGTATTGAACTCATACACTTTGGGGCTTGATACTGGATCTAACTAACGCCTTTATCCAATGTGCCATGTGTCCTCAAGATGACATCTGTTTTGTCAAAATACATATATTTCTTCTTAGTAAAATACCATACTACCACTTGAATAGAAAGGATGCAAACATGGCTTTTACGATGTAATGAACAATTATTAATTAATATGATGAGCTTCGAAATCTGATTCATTACAAAGAAAATCACAGTACTGCCTGAATAGATTACCGTAAGACATTCGATAGTGCACTAGTGTACTAATATGCCATTCTTGGATATTAATATCTTTAACTACACACACACACGCACACACAACGCGCGCCCGCGCACACACACACGCGCCGCGCACACACACACACACACATATATATATATATATATATATATATATATATATATATATATATATATATATATATATATATATATATATATAAAAGGGAGATGTTATAGTAGTTCCAACGAGAGAAAAGGATTTTTTAAAAAATATTATGCTTTATTTTTCATAATTTCCATTATGTAAAATAAAGCATAAATATTTTTAAACAAAATCCACATTACAACTAAAAAACGTTTGCGGTTTCTCTCTTCTTTTAAACATATATATATATATATATATATATATATATATATATATATATATATATATATATATATATATATACATATGTATGTATATCTATATATATGAAATATAATCTTGAGTTGTGATATAGATTCATCATTGGATTTTATCAAGAATCTCTATAGCAGTTAGCAGGAGCAACATACCAATGTGGCAACAATATTCAATGTATTGATGAATGGTAGATGTAAAAATATGAAAGATAGATTCTAGAGAGAAAAATTGTTTCGCTCGACAAAGTGAACAAACTTAGCGGCGTTATGTGAGGAAAAGCAGAATGAGATTAGTGACCATTTCTCGGAGCTTGATGGTTACAATGTCGTTTGCAAATAGCGAGGATTTGTTTGCATATCGGCCAATGGAATTTTCTATTGTCAGATATTTGCATTAAGGTAGTAGGAATAATTTTCATGAAGGAAATCTCTCGAAAAATAGGATTCGTGTTGAATACGAAATTCTTTTCTCTTCTTTATGTTTTTTTTGATAGACTAATTTTCGTTTTTTTTCTCTCTCTCTCTCTCTCATATGATGCTTTCTGTTCTTACTATCATCCGAGCTACTTATTTCATTTTGTCATCCTATTTTTGTCACTTTCTTTAAAAGTTTTTGTCTCAATAATAGCAAATACAAGGCAGACATTCATCATCAGGATGCCTTACCGTTGCGTTTCTTTTTACTCATCCTGACTGATCATTTCTCTGTTATTCGTTCTTTTTTTATTCTTTCTATCCTGTTGCAATTTGTCATAAACATGCTCCATTATAGTTTGTTGTTTTTTTATATGACATTATTTACTCTTTTGTTCCGTATTAAAATGACAAGAAACGAGATAATGTACAATTGGGATTATTAACGACATTTTTGCTTTCTTCCTCGGCATTTTCACCCTATTATATCCTTGAAGAAATGTAAAAAAATATGGAATTACGTATTGTTTAATTCCTCCATTATCATAAATTTTCGCATTCATTCTTCGTTCGGCAATTCCTTATTGGTTAGTCATTTGTATTTTTGCTGATGATTTTAAAATATATTCTGATCAATTTTCTTCAGTCATAATTAACCATGTTTATTTACTTTTATCTCTTTATTTATTTTTTCTTTTATATTTCGTTATGTTTCCGTTCTTTTTCTTTTTGTTGTTTAAGGTTTATTATTTTTGCCATTTTAAGTCTTTTATTCTTTTTCATTCCCTAAAGACAAAATACTTATTTATTGGAAACTATTTCTTTCATTATTCTTTATATAGACATTTTGTTCGTTCTTTCGTTATATTCTCGTTTTTTTTTTCTTGTTTGCCTCTCTTTCCTTCTTTCAGTATTTATACATTTCAATTATTCATCCGTTCTTTAATACTTTGGTCCTTACTATTTCCGTTTGCTTATTTGTTTTTTTTTTTCTTTCTTTCTTTCTTTCTTTCTTTCTTTTCTTTCTTTTCTTTCTTTACTATATCCCGTTGTATATTCTTTTACATTTACAGCAAGTTTTATTTTTCATTTTATATGTATTCTTTAGAATTCCGTTCTTTCGTTCTTCAGTCGTACCTTGTTTTATTTTCTCGTTTTTTTTGTTGTCATATCTGTTCCGTTCGTTTTTGTATCACTTTTGTTGACCTTTTTTATTTCCTTCTTTTTTCTTTCGTTAGTAGTGCATTTACTCTTTCTTTCTATCGTTGATTAATCAGTTTCTTCTCTCACCTCATCTATTTTCATTTCAAATTCCTGTTTGCTGCTTACTTTAAAGGAAAATAGAGTTCAGATCTCATTAATGTCGTGACGTTGATGCAATCTTGACTATGGCACATGACAAATAATGAGAAGAAAGAAAATAACTCCCTTCGACAATAATGTGTTAACCTTAAAGATTTCTATCAATAATTATTCTAAAGAATCTCTTCAATCTACCTTGTCTAATTTAAATTGTTTTGTTTTTGAATTGGCGCAGACAGGATTACAATATATATATATATATATATATATATATATATATATATATATATATATATATAAAAGTGAATATAGAAGTCAACACTTAGAGGCGACAGTCTGTTTCATGCTATATGCAATCGTCAGGCCACTTGACAATTTTTGAATATTTATATATATATATATATTTATATATATATATATTTATATATATATATATATATATATATATATATATATATATATATATATATATATATATATATATATATATATATATATATATATATATATATATATATATATATATATATATATATATATATATATATATATATATATATATATATATATATATATATATATATACTATAACTTAGGAGGAAGAAAACACTGAATTCCTCAGTCTGTAAATGGAACTAGTTAACATGAAAAAACGTGGTCGTCTTAGAGAAGGAATACTCAAGGAGAATAGCAACACTTCCTAAGAGCATAATCCAATCATTCCACTTTCTTGAACATTTTGATTACAAAAAATACACCAGATGTCTAATGTGTAATGAAGCATCAAGTAGTTAGCAGAGCATTTCACATAGTAATGGCAAATAAAGTATAATAAATAATGTCAACACCAATTATGTGAATATGGGGAACAGACATATGTAAACATTCTTGGATCTTGAATATGATCAGAATTATGACTGAAAATGCCTGTGTCCTAAAGTTCGGACAATATCTAGACCTATTGGTTTCTTTTTTTGAATAAAAGAAATCAACAGTTTTTAAAAAATTCTTTTCTCCCATTTTAAGTGGAACATCTGTGTAGATGGCGAAATGCTTACCGGTATAGAATGCGAAATGACTGAATGAAGTTCAAATTCTGCTTGAATCTGTTACATTCACTTTTGCATTAATGATTTAAAGCACCTGTTTCCATTCATGAAGTATATGGCATCCGTTAACCGAATATTTCGTCTGACTGTTAAATATTTTAAACACTTTTTCCTGAAACAGTTTTTTTTCCCACAACTAAACTTCCTCAGGTCACTAACACTTATAATTGTTTCTAATATTGAGGAGAGATCCCACCGAAAACTTATGATTTTGGTATTGAGCAAGGTTCGTAGCTATAGTCCATTATTGTATCTTCTATTTAAATGTACTACGCATTTTAGCAGTTGCTGCTGTTGGAAATATACAAGTTATCAGTTTTTCTTTATTTGCAGCACCAATCAAATAAAGGACTGCATTCTTTACGACTTCTTCAGGAAGACACAAGTCGGTCTCTCCACATCTATGCGTTAAAAAGCAAGATAGAATCGGCTGTCAGTCAGACTAGAAGCAATACGGTGAATTCAAAGACTGGTTTGGTGTCAGCTAGAGGGAGTTTGTTGATTGTTCTTAGGAATAGGTTTGGTACGTGATTACAGCTTCATTGCTGATACCATGTTGCATATTACTTGGAGAAGAGACAGGCAAGAAGTCTTAATTCTCATTACCTTGGCAAATGCAGTAATATTTTCCTGGTGCATATTGAAACATAAGGCTTCTGATGAAATTACTATAATCGAAATTTTCAAAAAAATGGCGTGATTGGTCTATGCTTTTAGGAGGTGTAATTTTTCTGCTTGGGTTTTCCTTCCCTTAGACGACCACGTCTTTTCACGTTAACTAGTTCCATTTACAAGGCTGAGGAATTCAATGTTTTTTTTCCTCCTCGCCAGGTTGCCAGCCAATGCTGAAGAGTCCAGACTAACCTACTATCAAATTCAGCGTCGGCTATTTTATTTGACTATGTCACCGGAATGTGATTATGACTTTTTATTACTTAAATTTGTTATTAAGCATGTTTAAACCACAGTTTCGAAGCTGACAGTATTTTTTGTTGGTGTGGGGAGTAGGATATTTATTTTTTTTGCATAGGGTTTCTGATATTTGGATCCCTTTTTACCCTTAATATTATAATCGAACCCATCCAAAGAGTAGAATAAATTTGCCTATACTAGGGTTGTTTTTACTCCCCTTAGAAGGCAAAGTATTTTTACATTAATTAGTTCCATTTATTGGGTTGAGGAATTCAGTTTGTTCTTTCTCCTGGACACGTTGACAACTAAATGTGAAGAGGCCAGTTTGATCACCTATGTAACGCTTATCTAGAGAGTGAAGAGAAGAGATGGATTGATGCATTTCCCAAAGTCATTTCAGCGAAATTACAGGTAACGAAATCGACTGGAATTTGAAATCCTTTGCCTAGTCCTCATTGACTGACCATTACATTCCACGTATATTCAGAAATGTGTTGAATTGCAATTACACTAAATGTTACGCCGACAATCTCATGGTTACTTTGGATGAATTAGAATTGATATCAATGAAAGGCTATTGAATAAATACATAATATTGTGTGTGTGTTTGCAGATAGATAAAAACCTTAGTAAAACGTGTGAGTATAAATAATTGTTTTAATAACGGAAGTGTGATGACATTTTCGTGATAGAAACTAATGAACTCTAATGTGAAAATTCATGAAATGTAAATTTTATTAAAAAGAAAAACAAAGAAAGATTTTTAATTCAATTGCTTAAATTAAATTAAGAAATTTTCATCCTTTTTTATCACCTTTGATCAAACGTTATTCGACTTTTCAGTCTATTCAAGCAGCCACATTGAGTCACTAAGGGAATATCTATTTATTTGAATTTGTTCACATTCAGACAAATTGGAATGATTTATGACTGCTGTAAATACACGTGATTTTCAAATGACAATAGATTTTAGTTTCGATTTCCAAGTTTCTAATTTCTTAAATTATAGACATCAGTGAACTTGACAGAAATTTAATAAAACCTTGTTTGATGGCGTATCGATCATATAAACAGAGTAGATCCATATTTTCTCATCAGGAACTATATATGATACACACCAGGAAATAAAAGATGTCAAATTTAACATCCATCAAGTAACTTGATTTAAGAAGTGATGGTCGGAGATAAACCCAACTACTGGGTTCACTTAGAAAGATATCAAATTAATTTTTGTATTTGGTGCCAATAGAGAACGTCAAATTTCCTATGATCTCCGGCGCTTGACAGAGAACGTAACTTTAAAGCCACCAAGTGCAAAATCGGGCCTCAAATATTAATTGTGTTTATATCATATAAATTAGCCAGGTATCTGAATTTGGCATGTGAAATTTGATATGGATAAAACCAAACTAGTAACGTTTTACCATTACCGAGGATACTCTGAACTTTCACCTATCATGATGGATAAGCCTTTTTCTCAAAACGGCTCATTGTCTTGGATGTCTCTTGGGACTCCAACTGTCTCCAGTCATCAAGCGGAACTCTCATATCCGACTTACTTCAAAAGATTCTTGAAAAATAGTCGTACCGCACTATTAAGTATCTGACCGATATACTCTTTATTTACAAGAGCCAGATCAGATGAAAATGGAGTATTGTTTTCGTATCTGGATTGGAGCTATTCAGTCTTCATTTGCCTGTTTCGGTTGAGTTCAAAAGGGTCTGTACGGACTTGTGGATGATTAATTATTTACAACTCAGCAACCCCTATCCAACAAACAAAACCCTGCGAGCCACTCCCTGCACTATCTTTATTTCGATGGCAGGTATTCTGATGTTATACAATCATTCGTCCCACCAGAGCTGACCTTTAGTAAGGAGTTAATTTCATTCAGACAGCTTCATCCCAAGAATCTCTGCGTTGTGGAACAGACTCTCAGCAGAATGCTTTCCTTTACTCTGTAAACTTTTTTCTTTGCTGTCAATGTATGTTTAATACTGCGTATGTCTATTTAGTAATATATTAAAACAGCTGATAGGAAATTTCAGTTCATTGTTTTATGTAAAAGTTATTAATAACTGTTTTAATAATTAGTACAGCTGTGTTACAGTAGATAAAATAAAACACAACAGAAAAATATTAGATTAACATAAACAAGTTTTATCTCAATTCGACCTCCCTTGAAATAAATATACTTGAATGTTACGACTTTAGCCTTGGTTGGTTAAATGAATGATAATGTCCAGCAACATATGAATAAGGATTTGAAAATTTCTCTCTTATTTAATGCTATTAAATAACAAAATCTGAATTATAACACTGTGATCTTAAGATCTATAATTAAAATATACTCTTCAATTGAATCTAAAAATGCTTCTGGATTTAATTAACTATTTTTCCAGGAGTATGGTCTGAAGGCTTAAATTTATCTGATATTGCTACTGATATTTTTGTGATGTGTTAAATATCAGTATTGGTATTCAAACGTCTCTTAGTATATTTGTTAATGTGACATTTTTTACTAAACATTGTCTTGTTCTTCTTCAATAATAAACATATCAATAATAAACATATCATTCCCTCAAATGTTCAAATTCTTTGCCTTTGTCATTCACACACTCATCTCTACCAAAAAAAAAAAAACAAGAAAAAAATTATTAATAATATTATATATTAAAAAATAAAAATTATAATAAATTTATTACAGTAGGATTTCTGACAACCGGACCAAGAAGGCTTTCTAGATATGAGGAATTGGTTAAAAAGTCCGAGGGCTTATATTTAGATTAAAATAAAAGAACTGAAAGCTGGTTAAATATTTATTTTCAGTGTTATATAGTAAAAAAATAAGCTAATGGTGAGTGAAATATAACGGAATTGATTTTAAGGAAAAAGAAATAAATTATATAATGTTAATGAAAATTCATTAAATTAAGTATGCCACG